GGAAAATTGTTGCAGTCAAGCAGTTGAAATCTGAGAGTAGACAAGGGGAGCGTGAGTTCCATGCAGAAGTCGATGTCATTAGCCGTGTGCATCACAGACACCTTGTTTCCCTTGTTGGTTACTGCATATCAGACAACCAGAAGATGCTTGTCTACGAGTATGTGCCAAATAATACTCTAGAATTTCATTTGCATGGTAAGATCTGTCAGCTCATTTAGGATGCAAATTCAATTTAACTATTGTTTTCTGAGATATGATGTGCAGATTCTTTGTTGTAAATGTTTTAAAGTTTTGTAGAGCATAATATTTGCATGCAATACACAGTTAGTTGCTTCATACTTTCGTGTACAAAAGTATGGCTTTTATTTTAATTCACATATTGGTTTTACGTGTGAAATATATCATATTATCAACATTTTTTTAACAATGAAAAATTTGACCTGGTGTGGTTAGTAGTTAAGTAATGAGGATTCCACTGTCTCTCTGCGGAAGTTTGATAATTTAATTCTTATCGCACAAGTATGATGCTGTAGTTCTAAATGAGTCATGAATATCATACCAGGAAAAGACAGACCACCTATGGACTGGTCAACAAGGATGAAGATTGCTATAGGATCTGCAAAAGGATTGGCATATCTGCATGAAGACTGTGAGTTTAATGTTAATAAATTATGTACTCTGCAAAAGAACTGGCAATGTTTTTACTTCATGATGTTAGTTTTGAAATTGACATTTTTAATCTCATGTCATTTTAGGTAATCCCAAAATCATACACCGAGACATCAAGGCATCTAACATTCTTATTGATGATAGCTTTGAGGCTAAGGTAAATTTATAACTTTTTTATCCTGCAATCCTGGATATATAGGGCAATGCAACAGACAACACTACAGAAAATAAGTGAATTAAGTGGTGTATCTTGAAATGGTTAAATGAACCAAAAAGGCTATAGAAATGTTCATGTTGACATTTAATATCTGTGTACATCATCTGCGACTCTGCATATAGAATAATGATTCATAATCTTTCGCTCAGGTTGCAGATTTTGGACTTGCAAAGTTTTCATCAGACACAGAAACACATGTTTCTACTCGAGTGATGGGAACTTTTGGGTTAGATTCATCATGCGTATTTCTTGAATCTAATTTTGAAATACTTTTATTGGGCAGTATGTTTCATGGATTTTATTTTTCCGTTTTTCTATTAATTATATCTTACTGAAACTCTAAATTCATTTAATTCAGATACATGGCTCCAGAATATGCTGCTAGTGGGAAACTAACAGAAAAGTCAGATGTTTTCTCCTTTGGTGTTGTGCTGTTGGAGTTGATTACTGGACGGAAACCCGTTGATAAAACTCATCCCTTCTTAGATGACAGCATGGTTGAATGGGTATGTTGTATTCATTATTTCGTTGATGTTTCTATTTTGATCAATATGCATAACTAAGGACAACTCGGTATTTATGGTACTACGGAATGTGCACCTTTGGCATCTTTTCTTATTGGGTGGTGATGTTTTGACCCCCACCAAAAAAAAACCCACTTGACAACTCAAAATAATAATATTTTAATCATATTTATTTTATTTTTTAACTTTAAATTCTAACACATTATATTACTAAAATGGATTGGGTGTTTTTTTTGAGGTGTCAAACTATTATTTTCTTTCAGTATTTTTGGGTCAGTTAATGAATTTTCCCGAGCATGAAAACATTTATAGAAGAGTGCGTGTGATCAGTAACTCGCATTCTAATGTTGTATTTGCTTTTAAACTTTTTCTCAAATTACAATCTTGAACTTTTAACCTTTTTTTTTCAGTTAAATGAGTAGATATTGTTCAAAAACCATATTTCTTTCGGTGTTTTAAAAATTTGGAAAGCCATGTATCTTGTCCTATGGAGATCAGTTTTGGAGCTAAATTATGTGGTGTACTTGAAAAATCAATAAAATCTTATGACCTCTTATCTTGTAATTATGTCTGCTCGGATTGGTTTTAAATTGGTCATAATAACTTGTTTTAGATACCAACGGTATTGATCGGTCTGGGATGAAGCCGATTGTAGTTTGCAACCATGTCAAATTACTTGCAAGAAATTCTGGTTTTGCTTAAATTAACGATGAAATAATATCTGGGATATTCTGCAACAGTTAGCTGACAGTCTTATGTTGACAATCCTCCCTCAAAACATCTTGTACTGAAGCATTGTGTGTGTTTTTTTTTATCAGCAAAACATCCTGTACTGAAGCATTGTGTGTGTTTTTTTTTATCAGCAAAACATCCTGTACTGAAGCATTTTTGTGTAAATTACAGGCTAGGCCTTTACTCTCTCAAGCGTTTGAGAATGGAAACTTTGATGGACTTCTTGATCCAAAGTTGCAGAAAAATTACAATCATGATGAGATGATTCGAATGGCCGCTTGTGCTGCAAGTTGTGTGCGCCATTCAGCCAGGCTTCGGCCTCGAATGAGCCAGGTGAGTTGGTTGATTCTTAAGATATGTTTGAGAATAAAAAATGTCTTTTGTTTTTATAATCAAATTGCTTTGGTTATTGTCTCTGACAAGGGTATGTAGTAAAATGCCTCCCTGAAAGGCATTCGCCTGCTTCTCTTGGCAAAAAAAAGTCCAGTGTTGTGTTAAAACATATTAAAAATTAAAAAGTATTGTCAGGATATTTGATTTACTGGTTGATGATTTTTTGAAGTTTAGAAATTCGTGACCAACTCTGAGCTTTGGCAAACTGAGATCTGGCGTGTTCTTACCTCTGACAATGATGAAATTAATGACACTGAGCAGGTTGTTCGAGCTCTGGAAGGAAATATTTCTCTAGAAGATCTAAATGAGGGGAGTGCTCCTGGACACAGCAGAGTTTTTGGTTCCTTTGAGGGTTCTAGCTATGACAGCGTCCAATACAGTGAGGACATGAAGAACTTCAGGAAGCTGACAGTGGAAAGCCAAGAGCAAGGTATTAGTGAGTACAGTGGTCCCAGCAGTGATTACGGTCGACATCCATCTGTCTCTACCAGTTCGGGACAGCAAAATACGCAGGAAATTGAATTGGGGGAACGTGAACGGTAGCAACCATGACTCTGCGACAAGCTCTCGATTGATGATTCCCACGTCTTTCAAAATTGCTCTTCAGACATCAGTTTGCTTGTGCACACCCATGAGACTGGTACAGGTACATATAATGTCGGTATATTTTACAGGCCCATATATTAATTGGCTTGCACACGATGAATAGCAGTTAGAGCTGTCTTTCTTTTTTTTCCCGGTGATTTTCACGGTCTAACTTTTTTCCCTCGTACAATTCCTGAATTATTTGATACACCTGAAGCTTTGTAAAGCTTGATTCATTTGTTCGATGCTAACATTTGTTCTAACTGGGAAAGCCTGACATTGGGACTTATGTTGAGGATGTGGGTATTTTGTACTTATTTGGTGAGCTTTGTGATAATGCATTCTATGATTCTTCGCCTGGTGCTTAAAGCTTGTAGCTACTCAGTTTTATTGTTTGCACTGGGAGGGTCACAAGGAACACTGGTCTTTTTACCACCAAAGAGAACCCTGTGTAGCAATCTTGGTGCAACCAAAGTACTTTTATGTTTTCTGGTCTCTTGATTTTGTGGTGCGCTCAACCTCAAACCAAGAGTAGTAACAATTTTACTCTTTCGCTTGCTTTCAAGAGAGTTAAATCCATGTTTTCATGGGTGTATGAAGACAAAATCATTTTGTTTGTATGAAGATGCTTTTGTGATGCGCTAAATTTAGTTGGACAAAAAGTTGACGCTTTTACTAAAACTTGATCTGCTTGGTTACAGGATAAAAAAACATTTTGGCCTTTGGAAGGTGAAATAAAAGTAAATTGAGGAAATATGGCAAAGGGCAGTGTAGTTGTCGTTTACTAGATAAGTTTTTTTTTTCTTGTTCAATTTGCTGTAATAAAATAAAATTGAGAAGACATTTGAAAGTGCTAATTTGTTAAAAAGAAATGTACTTTCGTACGTTTCTTCTTGTCTTTCCTCTTGGGTGGACAATAAACCTGCAAATTATAGATGCACATAATGATTGTGCTGCTTTCTGGTTTAAACATACTATTTTCTGAGGTACGTTTTAAGCAAAAAATAAAAATAAAAATAAAAATAAAAAATAAACAATATTTTTTCGGAATAGAAAATATAACTACACTAATTATGGGCCGTTTGGCCTTTTTATAACGATGTACAATGAACTAAGTTCTAAGCGTGACAGCAATGTGTTGTCGTGTTACCAGAAACAAAGTTATGTTCAATGGAATTAATATTAGTGTCTCAATATTTTACCATATTAACTATGTCTAGCACGTGGTTACTATCAAGACCATAATATTTTTGTATCTGTCACGTCTTGTGCTTATTATTTAAGTCATACATATATATTAACTCATCAACACTATATTAAAAGTGTAACAGACTGCACCATACTATAATTTCATACTTATATTAGTATTTGTCAATGTCCATAAAATCATCGTTTGTAGAATTAGTGGTATACTTCTATTTTTATTTATAAAAAACCAAACGACCTTAACTAATAACAAAAAAAAATTATTTCGTTGTTGTTGAATATAATAAAATTATATGAGATTAATTTTTTTGCATTAAATATATATAAAGTTATCAGTTAAATATTCACTAAATTTAAAATATAAATAAAAACTAATAATAAGTTAACTAAAAATAAAAAATGAAAATAATATATTTAATCGTTATAATAATAAAAAGTTAATTAATAATTAAAATGTCCAAATAGTTTATTTTCCGTTAAACATGGATCAAACAATATTTTTTAGTCTCGTTTGTCGTCTCAGCACGCAGCAAAAAGAGAGAGATTTAGTGGAAAAATAAAAACAGAATATTTTATTGGAGTTAATTTTTGAAATAATTATTTAGTGTGTAATTATTGAAGTTAAAAGTGTAGTAGAAGATGGATGGGTAGTTTGGGAAATAAGAGTGAGTGATGGCTGGCATTCGTTGTTAAGTTGGTAACTCCCTCTTCTTCTTCCATCTGTCTTTCAAACTTTCTCTGGCGCAAATTACTCTAAACTTTAACACTTCCAAACTCAATTTTTCTTTCCCAATTTTTCCCTAAAAAAAATAATCATTTTCGAGTAAACACACTCTTCCTCATCCATGGCATCTCGCCGCCGCATGTTATTGAAGGTCATAATCCTTGGAGATAGCGGGTACCCTTTTTCTTCTTTTTCGTCTTCGTCTTCTTCTTCGTCTTCTTTTAATTTCATCATTTCTTTTCCTTTTTAATTTAATCTAAAAATGAATTAAATCACATAGTCTGGCCAGAAGAGAAAAAGGGTTGTTGCATTTATGTTCGATGTTTTCAGTTTTCATTGAAATTCCGGATCTTTTTTTTTTATGTTTTGCAATGAAAATTTATGGAATACTTCTTCCAGGTGCATGAGGCGTTAACAATTTGGGGGGAAAATGGAAGTGATTACTGATTATGTTTGGATTCCTGTTGTTGTCTAAATAAGCTTTTTGGAATTATTAGAGGAAGAAAAATGGTTATTGATTCTATAGATTTGCAATTTTCTAACACGGGTCAGCTGCATGTGATGCCGATGCTTACCAATGTTTGAAAGTCTATAATGCCAGTTCTGTGCAATTGCTATTTAGTTAGTTATTCACCAAGATTGCAAGATCTCTCTGCTAATTGACTTTTTTTCTTATTTCTTTTGGCAGGGTCGGTAAAACATCACTGATGAATCAGTATGTTCAAATCTCAGATTTTTCTTCTAAAATTCTTTTCTGTGACTTTTGGGAAATGTCTGATGACAAATTTTTCTGCTTGATTTCTGTTTTCATGATCATTATTTCCTCCCTTTGCATTTAGGTATGTGAATCGTAAATTTAGTAATCAGTATAAGGCAACCATTGGTGCAGATTTTCTCACCAAGGAGGTTCAGTTTGAAGACAGGTTGTTCACATTGCAGGTGAGAGATACAAGAACAAGCTGTTTCTTTTTTGTATAAACATATATACAGTTTTTTGAAATGTGTTCTCCAGTTAGGATATAATAACCTACAGCTGCACCTACCAATCTTTTTTTAACAGAGCTGTTATCTTATTCAATTTCATACTATATAATCTTAAATCAGCTGTTGCACAGCTTATAAACTTTTATTTTCCCCAGATTAATTAAGTGGTTCATGATGCTGTTCAAATGAATGTAACCAGAGTGTCTAGTATTCTACTAAGTATTTGAGTTTCTTTTAAAACCTAAGGAATTCTTAAGTTTATAATAAGCCTTTATCTTCTGATCCCAATTTGATGTGATTTTGTGAAGAATAAGCCTTTATTTAAAATAGAATCTGGAAAGATAAAGAAATATTCTGGGTTGTTATTGTAAAATTAATGTCTGCATGATGTATGAAATAGTGCCATTATTAATGTCTGTTTGATGTATCAAATAATGGCCACTGTTAGGAGTAGAGCACTTGTAGTGATGGAATGGTCCACCCTTCTCTCCCTAAAATAGTAATAATTACAGACATTCAAATAGTATTCTCTAATTTACCACTCTTTCTCCATTTTCTTTTTCTTTTTATCTTCTCTTCCATCACATCTGTTATTACATTTCAAACTCTCTCTCTCTCTCTCTCATGCCTATATCTCTTATCTCTTAAGAGTGATGCATCTCTTATCATTTCCCATAATTTTTTAAGCCTTTTCCATTTTTTCCTAAATATTTCTTAATAAGAAAAAAATTAAAGGAATGCTTTCTTCTCAAATTAAAAATTCAATTTTTTTACTTAAACAAATTTTGGGAGCCAATTATGCTTTTAAAACTTAAAATATGATATTCACCTGTAATATAGATTTCCTATCCTTGGAATTGCTCACTGCAACAGTATTATTTTTGTATCCTTTGTTTAATTTATACAATTGCGGTTTTTATTGTATGTTATCTATTATCATGAATCTTTTAGTTGTTGCTTAAATTTGATATATTAATTTTAAAATTGTAACTTTTAATTTTTATATTCGGTCTTCTCAAAATTTGTCTTGCTCTGCCCTTCTCATTGTGAATGGTATCTGATGATGGTTGGGGCAAGTGCTTGGCACTTTCTATTTGATAAAAGTAAATATTTGATTGTATTTTTTACTCTGTTGTTTGAAGATCATGGAAGAAGATTAATAATCTAAGATTGAGTTGTTTTGACCATTCATGCAGATTTGGGATACTGCTGGTCAAGAGAGGTTTCAAAGTCTTGGTGTGGCTTTCTACCGTGGTGCAGATTGCTGTGTCCTTGTTTATGATGTAAATGTAATGAAATCCTTTGACAATCTCAACCACTGGCGAGAAGAATTTCTTATTCAGGTTGATTAACCATTCTCCTGCATTGTGGTATCATGTCTGTGTCACATTCGTTAAAGATCTGTGTGAAACTCATGCAAAATAATTTATTTTCAGGCTAGTCCATCTAATCCTGAAAACTTCCCATTTGTTGTATTGGGAAACAAAATAGACGTTGATGGTGGAAACAGCAGAGTTGTAAGTTATTTCTCTTCTCATAACATTAACTGCCTATTGACCCTCGTAAAATTTCTGTATTGGTGATTAGGATAGATAGGAATATTGATTCTCTGCTGAGTTTTTCTATGTTGTTCCTCTGCTATGTCTTCAAAATACACTTATGAACACTGATTTTGATCTGAACTCTGTTATAGTTGTGGGAAGATATGTGTTGGAAGTTCTATATTGACTAAAAATAAGGTTAAGTTAATTTAGAGTATACAAGTGGGTGAAAATATCACCTTACAAGTCGGTTTTGTGGAGCTGAGTAGGCTTAAAATCCACATAAGATCAATTTAGAGTATATAAGTGGGTGCAAACCCCACCTTCCATGCCGGTTTTATGGAGTTGAGTTAGGTTTAAGGTCCACTCTATATGCTTAAAGCTATACTTTTTTTTTTACATGTATCTTCTTCACAACCTCTTGTGTTGCAGGTTTCTGAGAAGAAAGCAAAGGCATGGTGTGCTTCGAAGGGAAACATACCATACTTCGAGACCTCTGCAAAAGAAGGATTTAATGTTGAAGATGCTTTCCAGTGCATAGCAAAAAATGCACTGAAGAATGAACCTGAAGAAGAAATGTGAGCATTCCTGAACTCTTCTAAGTTTTTTCTTCATGTATGTGTTTCCATTTACTCATGAAAAAGCTAAAGTGTGTTATGTTAATTATTGTCTAAGGTACCTGCCTGATACAATCGAAGTTGGTGGTGGTGGAAGGCAACAGAGATCTACTGGTTGTGAATGTTAAGTGGATTATTAGCCACCAACTACATTATCGACTTTGTAAAACCAAGGACAACTTTCAAATTTTGTTTTGTATCTATCTAGTGGATTTAGCTGCCATCATGTTTATTTTTCTGTCTTTATCTTTTCTGTTTGTGACAAATGATCCGCCAAATCAGGAAATGTATGTTGAAAATTGTTTTGTTCAATTGAGTTATGACATTGATTTGTGTTACAAGTAGCATTCTTTTTTTTGTTTTCAAAACATTAAATATGTTTACTTTTTGATATACGATTAAAGAACAAGATTATAAAATTCTTGACGCATGAAAAGAGTATTTAAAATATAATTATGATATTGTAGAATATTTTTTCGGAACAAAAGAGAAGCTCTAGAATGTTTATAAGATGTAGTGAGAAATATTTAAAAGAAACGGTGGATAAAAGAAATATTTTTTTTTTAAATTGAATATGGGCCCATAATTGTTGTGGATAAAAGAGAGCCCAAGGCCCAGGAAAGGTTGCATGCCAGTAGCGGTTAAATCGGTGGTATATATAGAGGATCATGGAAAATGTTAAAGGTTGTGATAATGGTTAAGAGAAAGAGAAGGTGATGGAGTCTACCAAAGAAAATTCTGGAATTCTGCACCAGATCCTACCTCCGCGTTTAGAAGACGCTGGCCTTGAAGATCCTGCCCTTCCACCGGAATCCATCCATCAAGCTTTTCTCCAAGCCGCCGCCGCTGTCAAATCACGCGCCGCTTCAATTTTCTCCTCCGCTGACGACACGGAGGACGAAGATGACGGTTGCCTTAACGACCCGTGGCCCACCGCCAATGAAGGCTCTGATGTAGTCGTCGGAATTGACATGGAGAATGAACCGCCGGGATCCTGCATCGTCGATAGGGGAGTCGAGGCTGGTGCCGACGAAGTTAGGGTTGCCGGCGGCGGCGGCGGCGGCGGCGATGGCGCGGACGACCTTGTGGTGGCGGGAGAAGGGAAATTGGAAGAGGATGCGAAAGCGTGCGTGGATGAGTTACAAGGGTTGAATATCGAAGATGAGAAGAAAGACGGTGAAGTTAGAGAAGAAAATGACGAAGAAAACAAGAAACCTACCTTGGTTGACGGGTATGCGTGAAAAGATGTTGTTTACCCGTTTGTACTAGTTTCTGCTTCTTCGCCTTATTAGAAAGTTTGTTGTATGTTCATGATCAATGTCTTGATTTCACGTTATCTAATATAATCTTAACAGCTTATTAGTTAGTCATAATTGTAAAATGGTTAATCTCACTGATTATCTTGTAAAAAAGGAATAGATATAGTACTTCTAAGGTAGTGATACGATTCAACTCAAACGCGACTTGATACGATTAATTTAACACATAAAAATTCCATTTTAGCGACATTACTAGTACGAATTTATGAGCTTTTATGCCTTATGCCGTGTTTAACTAGGAAATAGAAATAAATTGATTGATTTGATCGAACGGAGAGTAGAGAAATATAGATGAATAATCCTACAAATTATTTTGTTTTCTTCCTTTATCAAACACTGTAAATTCTTGTTTTCACTGAATTCATTTAATTTTGCACAAAGATATTTGAAAATTTGAAGCACTCAAAGGGATTAAACTTTATCATTTACCCAAAAATCTTTCTAACATCAACAATTTCTTTAGAGGCTTTCTAACCTCATAAGAATATATTTAGAGGTAATAAATACCATACTTTTAAAATAAACATCTTTTGTGGTTAGGTATAAGAATTGAATATTTTAGCAAGTAAATGTATATTTTAATAAATAAAGCTGATCCGTTGGTATATATAATGAAGAGAGTTCCTGTGTTTATTGGGTATTTTTAGAGGAGAGTTGTCGTGTTTGTTTATTGACTATGTTAAACACATATATCAATCTTCTTAAATTAAGTTGTTTTCAAACTAAACCAAACTATCAATTTTAGGTTTTCTAAACTCTTACATAATTAGACAAACTAGAAAACCCTTTTTTTTTTTTTAATTTGGCTATTAGATTTTGTTTCATTCCAATAAATCTTATATATTAGACAACTTTTTATTATATTTATTAAATTCTCTCAAATCTTCATAAATATTTTCTCTTCCAATATTTACAAAAATAAAAAAATCATAATTATTTCATGTTTATATAACTGCTTTTCAGAATTTTATTTTATTTACTTTTTTACATAATTATTTCAAGTTTATGAAATTGTCATTTATAATTCTATTTTATTATTTCTTGACACTTTTAAAATTTGTGTAATAATAATTTTTTTCTTGTACATTAAAAAGAGAATATGTATATTTTTGGAAAATTAGATAACATTAAAACATTATATTTTTCTATTATAAATTTTATGAACGAGATAGGAGATATGGCATAAATTTTCCATCAGAATAAAAGTAGGATTGGAAAATGTGCAGTTAAATCAAAGTACTTCATCCATAATGTTAATGTTATTAAGACGTGAAGATGAACTAAATAAAAATTCATAGATGAAACAGGAATGTAGACCTTAAAAAGCTGTCCTGATAATTTATTTGGATGACAGAAATTATAAAATGGTGGTAAATGTGTGTACCTAATGCAGATCCATCAATCCTGGAAGTTCCATGGAGGCAGAGATTAAATTAAGGGAGTTAACAGCGGCTTTCCAAGGAAATGAGCTTCCAGGTTTCCAAGGACAAGGTCCGCCATGGCCGTTCGAGTTTCTACTGTGGCACTTCCAACATGGGGAAGCAAGACAACATTTTCAAGCCCAAATAGCTCTTCTGGAACACTAGGCTCATTTTCAAACACATCTAGCCCAGCCCCACCAAGACGACCTTCTACAAGTGCCGACACTAACTCTGTTTCATCAACATGCTTACCTCTTCCAATGTTGATAAGATAACCCTTGGGACCCAGGGCATTGATCACCTCCCTGTTGATTATGTGGTGGGTTTCCTCAGTCAGTGCGCAAGCTACAACCAGTATGTCGCAATTAGATGCTAATTCTACAACACTTGGATAGTACTTGTAGTTCGACTCTCGTTTTTCAGTTCTTGAGTAGTAGCTTATTGGACACTTAAATCCTTCAGCCCTCTTCGCAATGGCTTCCCCTATTCTCCCTAACCCAATAATGCCAACAGTTTTCCCAGAGAACTACAAGGAAAATACACAGCACGAAAATTAATTTTGCTGTTGGAAAAGGAGTGGGGAATAATACTACAATGTATAAAAATGGGGATTTTAATGATCCTCCAACTCCAACTCCAAAGATTGACAGATCCTTGGTCTCCAAATTAGAATTTTATTTTTCACCATCACTCTGAAAGTGTCATAGATATTGTGAGGTCAACTCCAAAAGATATATACATATATGTATATATATCTTGAGGAGGTGATGAAGAGAGAACACAAAGGAGATAGAGATAGTAAAACCCTGTCATGTTCACTCTTCAAATTTATTGTCCACGAACTGCTGGTAGAATTTTCTGCATATAATTCTATGATGGGATACTGAGATAAAGATAAATGGTTCTTTGTATTTGTACAGCGAAGCCAAGTAGTGGTTAAGGGGTTTTCTCTATTGTTCTTGGGGACAAATCTCTTCATCGTAAGACAGATCCAACACACTTTCCAATATAAAGTAAATAATCTCTGTTATGGACTACGATGCATAGACACCATACGTCAATCAAATATGACACGTATTTGATCCAGTAATATGATTATTCTAAAAATAGATAAGAAACAATACATACAACATATTAATATTTAATACATGTATACAAATAACAAGTATATAACTGCAATTTTGCAAATTTAACTTTAAAACATATTTTTGGAGCAATAGAAAGATAAAAAAAAAAAATCTTATTGTCGTGATGATGAGTCATTTCCTATTCTCTACAAAGAAGAATAGTATCAACTTCATTCATTCCTTAAGATAATCCATACATTACGTTCATCAAGGAACAAATATTTCTACCTTTTGTATTATACAGATTTCTATGTGGTTATATTAGATTTCTATAACTTTCTTAAAGGTTAGAATACTTCATTTTTCTTTTCAAATCATGGTTATCTTCTGGGTCACATACTAATCTCGTTTATAGTAACGTAATTACCACTGACCTGACAATTTTGAACACTTTGGAAACATGTGAGTGAAGTATTCAAGAATATTAAAAAAAGCTATCCTTGAATAACTACCCTCCCTCCCTCCCTCTAAATGAATCAAGCAGAAGTAATCCTTCAAAGGATCAAAGATCATGTTAAGTAGTTACCCAAGTATCAAAAAACCTACCAATTCACCAATAAGCGTTATTTGTTTTATGAGATGAATAGCTGAAAGTTTAAAGATTTGAAGATAAAATTTATATATTATAGACGTGATAGATAAAGTAACGCTTTAATAAAACAAATTGTAAGTTAAAATAATATAAAATAAAATATAATTATTATCCTATTATTATTATTTCTATATACAGAACATTTAGATTTATGACAATATAACTATCATATAAGAATGTGATACAAAATTATTTAAAACTAATAATTCTTTTAAAAAGATTAAACTGAACAAAGTCAACGAACACACACTACACTGCCAGCCATGGATGTTTTTTTCCTACCTGAATTCGCCTCTTTCCGATCCTGTTCTTCAAGCCCTGTCACAATCTAGCTTCGCCTCTCTCTCTCAGGTGACCCGACAGCTATAGAATCGGTTTCCCCAGTCCCAGAATCGATTCCTAAATTACAGAATCGGTTTCCAGCCCCAATTCTCGCATCCCCAGATCTGATTTTCATCAGCTTAGTCAAATTAAAAAGAAAAACGATGGACATTTAAGTAAACTCCATGTATTTCTCCTCAAATTTCCTCGCCCTTGCGGATCCATCTACCATACCATGCCGCAAATCATCTCCCCAAATCAGTGTAAATCAAGTGAAACAAACACACAGATCACTCGCACTTTCGTCCGCGTGAACAGTGGATAAACGGAAGCAAACACAGCAGTAATGTTATCACTCTAAAGGGCACTTAGTGGAGTTATACTTTAGATAAAATAATGGTGTAGTATAAGCATAGATAAGAAAGTCAATGTAGATATATCATAGTGTGTAAAATCACTGTAACCTACTTCTATTGCAAGAGAAGAAGAATGACGAGAATGCAGAAACAAACAAACCTTAGTGGTCAACTTGTAGTTACCGCGCTTCCACTGGCCGCTCCTGACAAAGCGATCGCACTCGCAAATCCTCCTGAGGAGCGCCAGTATCAAGCCAATAGTGAGATCCGCGACCTCGTCGGTCAACACGTCCGGCGTGTAGGTCACAGGAATCCCCTTCTCTCTGCACTTCTCCTTGTCAATCTTATCCACTCCCACGCTGAAGCTCGACACGATCTCCAGCTTCGGCAGCGCCTCGATCAGCGCCGCATCCGCGCCGGCGCTCGAGCTTCCGACCACCGCACGGATGGCGGCGGCATGCTGACTCAGCAGCTGCGCCCGGTTCGGGTACTCCCACGCGCGGAACAGCTTGAAGCGCTTGTCGAGCTCCTGCTCCAGGTACGGCATCACGCGAGCCACGAGGAGTACTCCGATCGACTCCATTTCGCCGGCGAAATTAGGGTTTGGTTAATTCAGGAATTCCACAGAGTCGCAATGCAACGCAACGCAACCCAACAAAGACTGATTCGGAATCCTCACGCTCGACGTTTTCTTCCATATATAATGTGTGAAGATAACATTGCTCAAAATCGCGTTACTGCTAAATTAGATTTATTTGGATTGTTAATTTAATCCCAATGTAATTTGTAACTGTGAACACTCATCAAATCAAACCAAATCAATTATATGGATTTTTATTCATTCTTATTCACAATTTTTTTACTTAAAACTAATTATATATATGCATAGTAAATATTTTGACTTATATCGCATAAAAAAATGAAAAATTCAAATGAATACAAATAATTCATTTAAATTTTATTTTCTCTCAAATCTAATATAAATCCATCCTTAAAACATTCGTTAAAACCCGAACTCGTCTTAAAGACTAGAAATCACATGAACAAGGAGAAGAAAAAGTCCTACTTTTAGGACTAATAAGAGTCCATTATAAAAATCATGTCAGTAAATGTGTAACCCTACCATGGTCCTTTCTCATTAATTGCGCACTGTCATTTCTTATTCATTGGACACTTTTTGTTGGTTAAGAATTTATGTGAATTAAAAGACATTTATATGGAATAAAAAAGGGCAGAGCATATCAGTACAGATCGGTTGTGACATTTATACATTGTTGTATGGGAAATCATACTTTGGCTCTCCAAATCATAACATGGGTCTATTATTGGTTAGAGGAGTGAGTTTATTTTTTTAAGTGGAGTTCATGGTAGTTTAAACAAATAAGATATTGACAAAAGAAACAGAATATATCGAAACAGAAACTCATATGTTGTCTTGTTTTTTTGAATGTACTGTCTCATTGCTCATTGCATATATGTGTGTGTATATATATATATATATATATCTTGAGGAGGTGATGAAGAGAGAACACAAAGGAGATAGAGAGATTAAAACCCTGTCAAGTTCACATCATATTTATTGTGCATGAACTGCTGGTAGAATTTTCTACTTGTAATTCTGGAATGGGATCCAAAGTTAAAGATAAATGGTTCTTTGTATATGCACAGCAAAGCTAGGTAGTGGTTAAGGGATTTTCTCTATTGTTCTTGGGGACAATCCTTTTCGTCGTAAGACAGATCCAACACACTTCCAAGATAAAGTAAGTAATCTTATGATCTATGATATAAAGACATCATACATGAATCAGACATGATACATATCTGATCCAGCAATATGATTATTCTAAAAATACATAAGAAAGAAACAATACATACAACATACATACTAATATATGTATACAAAATACCAAGTATATAACTGCAATTTTGCAAATGTAATTCTAAATCATACTTTTAGAGCATTAGAAAGAACAAAATAAAAAATCTTAAACATCGTCATCATGATCATGATGAATAGTATCAACTTCCTTCATTCCTTAAGATCATCCATACATTACGTTCACCAAGGAACAAATATTTCTATTTTGTACCATACAGATGTTTCTATGTGGCTATATCAGATTTTTATGACTTTCTTAAAGGTTAGAATACTCCTTTTTTTTTTCAAATCATGGTTATTTTGAGTTTCTGGGTCACGTAATCTGGTTTATATAGTAATGTAATTACAATTGACCTAACAAATTAAACACTTCGTAAAAGTACTTAATGGAATAATACTTTAGATAAAATAATGGACTTTTTTATCACTCTGGTGTAATTTTATAATAAAATTACGAGAATTGTGCAAGTTTTTTAAAAAAATTCAAACTTTTGACACAACTTCAATTCATCTAGAATAAAATTATTTCACCGTAAGATAACTTGGTGGAGGGTCATAGCTTGCAGTCATCACTTCTTCAGTGGCAGTCATAACTTCCAAATTTAATTTCTTAAAATTCGTACCATTGTTATAATTTCCTAATAAAATTATACAAGAATGGTTAAAAAACTCAAATAATGGTGTAGTATAAGTATAGGTAAGAAAGCCAATGCAGATAATCACTTTTCCCTATTTCAATTGGGAGAGAAGAAGAATGACGAGAATGCAGAAACAAGCAAACCTTAGTGGTCAACTTGTAGTCACCGCGCTTCCACTGGCCGCTCCTGACAAAGCGATCACTCTCGCAGATTCTCCTGAGGACTGCCAGCATCAAGCCAATAGCGAGGTCCGCAACCTCGTCGGTCAACACTTCAGGCGTGTACGTCACGCGAATCCCCTTCTCTCTGCACTTCTCCACGTCAACCTTATCCACTCCCACGCTGAAGCTCGACACGATCTCCAGCTTCGGCAGCGCCTCGATCAGCGCCGCGTCCGCGCCAGCGCTCGCGTTTCCGACCACCGCGCGGATCGCGGTGACGTGCTGACTCGGCAGCTGCGCCACGTTCGGGTAATCCCATGCGCGGAACAGCTTGTAGCGCTTGTCGAGCTCCTGCTCCAGGTATGGCATCACGTTAGCCACGAGGAGTACTCCGATTGATCCCATTTCGCCGGCGAAATTGGGGTTCGATTAGGTTATAGATTCCAGAATCGCAACGCAACACAACAAAAACTGATTCGGAATCCTCACGCTCGACGTTCCCTTCCATATATAATGTGTGGAGATAACATTGCTCAAAATCACTTTACTGCTAAATTAGATTGATTTGGATTATTAATTTAATCCCAATGTGATAATTGATTTATATGAAAGTATTATAATGGTAAATTTGTAACTATGAACAATTCAAATCAAATCAATTATATGGATTTTTATTAATTATTATTCACAATTTTTTATTTAAAAATAATTATACACATGCATAGTAAAAACTTTGGTTTATATTGCATAAAAAAATGAAAATTTCAAATTAACTCAAAGTTTATTTTCTCTCAAATTTAACACAAACCAACCCTTAAACATTCTTACAGGAAGTTCATTAAAACCTGAACACGTCTTAAAGACTAGAAATCATATGAACAATGAGATGAAAAAAAAAGCTTCTACTTTTAGGACTAATGCGAGTCCTTTTCTTAGTAATTGGACACTTTTTGTTGGTTAAGAATTTATGTGAATTAAAAAACATTTATATGAGAGTATATCAGTACAGATAGGTTGAACCATTCATATGGGAAATCAGATTCCATAAAAGATGTTTAGATATGTGGTAAGACACAGACAAAGTTTCACCTAAGATAAAACCAATGGCTTGAGTTTATATATATTCATTGGTAAGAGATTTTTTTAAAGTGGTATAAAAAATAAACATGTGAGGATTTGATCCAAAGCGAACAATATTTTATCATTGTGACGATTTATGTGTGTTGAACTTTTTTGAAAATTGGTATTAGAGTTGATGATTCAGATCTTATAGACAAATACGTGCTTCCAAAACCAAGAGATGAATATGAATTGATTATATACATATAAGATACATCCATTAGTAAGACAATGAAAGCTAACAATATCTTATCATTTAAAAGACATGTTGAACCGTATAGATTAAAATTAAAATTTATTTGGCCCTCCAAATTACAACATAGGTCTATTATTGGTTATGGTGAGTGAGTTTTTATTTTATTTTTTTAATTATTGATAAAGTTCGTGGTACTTTAAACAAAAGATATTGACAAAAGAAACAGAATATATCGAAAAAGAAAGTCATATGTTGTCTTGTTTTATTAAGGGCTAACCAACTTATGTACTGTAACGTTGCTCACTGCACAAAATTTGACATTAAATATAAAGAAAAGCTTTGGAATGAGAGGCTCCAAAAGCAGTTTGGGTAATGACAGGGTGGAGAATTTATGACAGTTTATAATGATAATCAAATCTAATAAAAGACTGAAGGTGTGTGCAGGTGGCATGATGAGAAAAACTGAGAAACCAGAATTTGGAAATTACTATATAGATTTTGGACTTGAGAAATGAGAAATGAGAAATGAGAAATGAGAAATGAGAAAGAAAAGAGTAAAATAGCTTGGAAGAAGTTGGTTGATCGTGGAAGTGAGAATTTTGGAAGGCATGCATGTCTGTTGTATTCCTGGTTTTCAGCTACCTTTGACCTCTAAATCAGAACCTTAACCGTGAAATTTTCCAACATGGTTGCCAAAACAGATTCCTCTCGACATGAATATAATAACAGTAATAATAATGTAAAATTTTGTTTCTAACACTTGAACCCGTTTAATTTGTTAAAAACATGCACCCCACGTTCAATGAACCAACTCAAAAAAGAAAATAAAAACCAACACAAAGTCCATCAAATATTAACCTCCAACTTTTCTGTCTGAAAATCTCGCACTCCTAAAAAAACATCTCCCTTTTCATTTCTGCTATTTTCCTCCCTTGCCACAATGCATCAAACATAGTTTACCTTATTTCTCTCCTCCTAAAGGGACCTGGGAATCAATCCCATGTTTGTTCTTGTTTTCATCCCTTGAAAATTTCCCTTACATCGTATATACAATACAATAAAGTAAAGGGAAATCATGGTCAAAGCAATGGAACAAGAACAGGAAGGTGGCAGGTCCAAACTTTTCAATTTCAAAGGAATTTTTGACACTGGGAGGCATGCAAAGAGTTTGAGCGTTGAGAGTGCCACCGCATTAGATCCTGCTGCTGCTTCGGAGGAAGATCCAGTGTCATCAAAAAGTCAGGGATCAAAAGCTCAAAATGATCAAGACAAGGCTCCTAAGCCAAGGGTGAACAAGGAGGAAATTATAGCCAAAGAAAAACTACTGCAAGGTGAAGAACATTGTGTTTGATTTGGATTCAGACTTACTTTACCTTCACATCATTAAATGCAGTGTTATATGTTTTATAACAGCATATTGATTTTGGAACTGTTTCGTTTTCATTCAAACTTTTTGTGGATGTGTTGCATTGGATTAGTTTATGATATTTATAAATGGTTGGGTTTAATTCAGAAATGGAACAGATGAAGGAGAGATTTGCTAAACTCCTGTTGGGGGAGGATATGTCTGGTGGAGGAAAGGGTGTTTCTTCAGCTTTGGCATTGTCAAATGCATTCACAAATCTTGCAGGTATGTTTTTGTTGTTGTTGCTGTTGTTGTTGTCTCTTGCTCTGTTTGTTCTTCATCTAAGACATGAACATATTGCTGTTTCTATGGTGGTTCAATCATGATGTGCAAACATAGTGCTGTTCCTTGCATTTTTTCAGGAGAGCTTGATAGCAGAAATGTTTCAAATAATTCATTGTCAGTTTCTCTCATTCTTTTCTTACTGAGAATGCAGCTGCTGTTTTTGGAGAGCAAAAGCGCCTAGAGCCAATGCCGCCAGAAAGGAAGGCAAGATGGAGAAAAGAAATCGATTGGCTTCTGTCAGTCACCGATTACATTGTTGAAATGGTTCCTGTGCAACAAAAAAACAAGGATGGCACAGTCATGGAGGTAACCCTCTATCCTTCCTCATCATGTATCTCTTCTTCCTTTCACCAATGCTGCATGATAGAACCTCATCTTTTTAGTTCAATAGGTCATGACCACACGACAGAGAACTGATCTCCACATGAATATCCCTGCCTTGCGAAAGCTTGATACAATGCTTATTGTAAGATCCTTATTCCCTCACCAATCAAAGTTCATCGTTGTTTCAAACTTTAATATATTTTGATCTTTATATTTAAAAAATAATCAATATAATCATATTAATCCATCCATAATCAAGTTTTTGACGTGTCAAACACGGTTTAGGATAACGTTTGAATTGTTTACAAGTTTGACATGTTTCAGTTCCAATGTTAGTCCAAAACACCATTTAACAAGTCAAAAAATATTAGTGTTATTGGATTAAAAGAACTATATCTATTCATTTTTTAAGTTTGAAGATCAAAATGTATCAAAGTTTGAAACATGAGCGAATTCCAATTTTGTGTCAAAATTTAGGGACTAAAAACGTATTTCTCTCTTTCTTTTATATATGCTTCAATTGGGTGTTAGTTCTCATACAACGATTGATGATGAGCAGGACAGTCTGGATAACTTCAAAGACCAAAATGAGTTCTATTATGTATCAAGAGATGCAGATGATCCAGATAACAGAAAAAACGATAACAAGTGGTGGTTGCCTACACCTAAGGTTCCTCCGGAGGGTCTATCAGAGTCAGCAAGAAGGTTTGTGCAGTATCAGAAAGATTGTGTGAACCAAGTGCTTAAAGCAGCTATGGCCATAAATGCTCAAACTCTATCAGAAATGGAGATCCCTGAAAGTTATATTGAATCCTTGCCCAAGGCAAGTCAAAAGAAACAAGTATTTGCATAAAGTTGTAACATTCTGAAATCTAACACACAACAAGAATGCTATTTTTTGTAGAATGGAAGATCAAGTCTTGGGGACATGATATACAGGAGCATCACAGAAGAATTTTTCGATCCTGATCAGCTCCTAGCATCTATGGACATGTCATCAGAACACAAAATCCTAGATCTCAAGGACAGAATTGAGGCGTCCATTGTGATTTGGAGGCGGAAGATGAACCAAAAAGATTGTAAATCATCTTGGGGTTCTGCAGTGAGTATTGAAAAGAGAGAACTCTTTGAAGAGAGAGCAGAAACTATCTTACTTCTCCTAAAGCATCGTTTTCCAGGAATTCCTCAATCTGCATTGGATATAAGCAAAATCCAATACAACGGGGTAAAAACCATCTCCATTGTCTCCTTTCACAAGAAATTCTTGACAAAATCCAAAATCTTAAGATAAACTGATAATGAGTTTATCTGTCTTTTTTCTTACATAGTATTTAATTTTATCATTTCTATTCCTATTCAAAGTCGGACTTAGACTTACACTTCAGTCATTCTCGATACTTATAATTTAATTTTATCATTTCAATCCAACGTGAGACTTAGATTCACACTTGAATCATTCTCGATACTTATAACATAATCACTTATAACATAATCACTTACCATTTCAGGATGTGGGGCAAGCTGTTCTTGAAAGTTATTCAAGGATATTGGAGAGTTTAGCCTTCACAGTGCTGTCAAGAATAGAAGATGTACTCCATGCAGATTACCTCACTCAAAATCCACCACCATCAAGTAGAAGAAGTATTTCGAGAAACACAAATTCCAAGTCAGAAAAGTCTCCAACTCCTAAAGAAGAGGTGGAAAAGGGTAGCTCAGAAACAATGACACTATCAGATTTCATGGGTTGGAACAGTGATCAAGGTGAATCAGACCTTAAGAAAGATCCCTCAGATGATTTCTACAATGACATGGATAATGGAAAGCCCCAGAAACTTCCAGACATAGTGACCGACAAGAAAGTGTCCTACCTTGAGACATTGGGAGGCATGAGAAGTCCAACAGCACGCCATTAAGCCAAAATTTAAAGTGTAAACACTTAAAAAAAGAGGGAGAGAAAGACAGTATTAAAATCAGTTTGTGTAGCCTGTGGCCTGTGGAGGGAGTTTTTTAAAACATAATTATTTATATCATCTATTCGTTTCTTTTTTGTACATAGGAATGTATGGATACATAAATTTTCAAAACCATCGCGGTTTGAAGAAGCACTATGTTATTTAATGAATTCACAGATGCCATGCCTAAAATAATATCTAACTCTATGATTAAACGAGTATTTGGCCTAATGATGAAAAG